CAAAACCAATGGATTACTAACTAAAATCACGAAAGAGGAAAGAACATACAACACAAAATCGAGATGATAGAAAAAAAGAAAAAAAGTCAATTTGGTTAAATAACGAAAAAAAATTCATAATATAAAATTTAACCAAATTAGCTAGAGGAAAATAAAAAGAGAGAGAAAAAAAGGTGGAAAAAGGTGAAAATGGGTTATACATGCTAATTGCTCTAAGTAAAAACAATAGCTTGAGGAATTATTCCTAAAGTCGTCCGAGCAATCTGAAAAGCTTTCACATACGGAGAAATCTCTAGTCATCGAAATAGATTCAAAACTGAAAACATACTTCAAATAATTCAAGACCAACTTGTGGTCACTAATAGCTCGTCCGACGAGCAATTTTCTTTTTGAGGCAGAGTTAACAATTCGCTCTGAAAAAGAAGAATATAATGGTAAAATCATTTTTTCCGTTAAAAAAAAACTAGATTTTGATCCGCGTCAAGCGTTAGATTAAATATTTAAATATATTTTTTAATCGATCTTAATATTTAGACGTGTATTATAATATTTATAAACGTACAAAATGATATATATTTTGCATAAATGTAATAAAATTAAATTTTGATCAAACATATTTTGATGTCATTGTTCTGATCAACTTTGCATAAAAATATTAAAACTAATACAAATGTTATTTATTTCAATTTTTTGGAAGTGTAAAATCAATTTTTATTATTTGTGTAAATAAAGCATGAGATAAATCAAATGAAACTTTAGATTTTTATGAATTTATCGGACATAAAAAAAATATATGTTTTTCAATAATAAAATGTAAAAATATTTGTAAGTGTAGTTATCATCTACAAATAAATAATGTAGTTACAAATATAATAATGAAAAGTTTCTTAATATATGTAATTTTAGAAAGAAAAAAAAGATGATATGGTAAGTATAAATATTATATTTAGTTAAATTTAAATCTCTAAAACATGTATTAATGGATTTATGTTATAAAATTAATAAAAACATGTAGATTTCTACCATGATATATAGTTTTAAAATTTCATATAAAATTTTTTATTGGTTAATTTAAATGACATGTTCTTTAAAAATAATCTCTACTTATTATTTTGTTCAATGGACCATATCATTGTAAGTTTTAATAACATTCACTAAAAGTTTCTTAAAACCCTCTTAAGATGACATCTAAAATTTTCACATAGTGTCTCCTCTATTAATATATAGAGGATTGGTGAGAATCGATAAGATTTTTTTTGTAGAATTGATCTCTCCGTAGAAAAGAAAATTGATAGAATTATATAAATTTTGAATTCAAATTTAGATGATGATAAAATGAAGACACTAATGCGAACCAATTAACTACATATTTTGTGTTAGAATATAGAAATATAGAATATTTTCTTATTGATGATAATGACATATATGTAAATAGATTACTTGGAGAGCACTCCTCCAATGCCTATATAAGGCTTGTGTCAATAATATAACTCTCTACGGAGATTCATC